GGGCCGGGGCACAGGAATCCGCTAGTCCGCAGCCCCGGGGCCGGCGACGGCTGCTCTTCCCGTTCCTTCTCCGGCCCGATGGAGGAACCTTCTGGGAAGCCCCTCAGTTTTGAGGAGAAGGAAAAGGTGCGGGGGTGCGGGAAGGGCGACTCGGAACTCTGCCCCCTTCCCCGGGATTGCCGGCCGCTGAGTCCCGGCGACGCGGCGCGCTGGCCTGTAGCCTGCGCTCTTCGGCCTCGCGCTGCCCGGGGAGTGAACGTGTGGAAGAGCGCTGTGCTTGCCTGGTGGCATTTAAAGACACTCTTTTTATTTTTTGCAGCACGAATGCATAAATACAAAATGTAAAACTGTAGCTAAAGCTAAAGTCCCCGTCGACACCCTCCCTCCCTCCGCCCCCACACTCAGCCTTAGAGACGCCCACCCACCCAGCCTTAGGCTGGCGGGTGCGGAGGGGCGCGCTTGTAGTCTCTACCCACCAAGAAGTGGGGTTGTTTTTTGGAAAGGAGAGTGTTCATGCAGGTACAGTCAGGATGGTTCTGCAGCTTCCGCTTTCCTTCTCCATGTTTGACATCCATGTTAGTACGTGTTTATCGAGCCGATTTTTTTAGGTTCTGTGTAGTATTGTGCAGAATGGAAGTGCCATCTTTAGCTGTTACTCTGCTGAGACAGGCGGTTCCTGCTTTTGCTTCTGCAACAGTAACAATGTTGCTCCAGCCCTCTGAACTTAGGCTGATATTAGCTAGAATGTATCCTGTGCTGGCTGTTCCAAGCTTTGTGCTACACTCTCCATTCACATTAACTCAACAGTCCTGTTATCCCGGCCTACTTTCTTTTTAACTTCAGAGAGAGGGAGGGGGGGAGGGAGGGAGAGAGGGAGAGAGAGAGAGAGAGAGAGAGAGAGAGAGAGAGAGAGAGAAACAATGATCAGTTGCCTCCCACACTCACCCGGGGATGGAACCTGCAACTTGGGTATCTGCGGTGACAGGGAATTAAACCCATCACTGTTTGGTGTATGGTGACGCCCCAACCAACAGAGCCACACAAGCCAGGGCCTAGCCTACTTTCCAGTGGGGGTGAAAAGGGCATTTACAAGTCAAGATAATTCCCAGATAAGTGATAAGCCTGGTGACTAATAGGACGATGTAAGAAGCAGCCTGGCAGAGATTTAAGAGCACAAACTGGAGAGCTGGACTGCATGGGTTTGAATTACATACCATTTAAACTGTGTGATTTTAGACAATCAGCGTTCCCTCTGAGCTTCCCTTGCCAGCTCCTTCCTACTCAGGTCCAGGTCCAAATGGTCCTTAGAAACGATCTCTGGCCACCCTCTCTACCGCAAAGTCGTCCGTTCCCGTAACTCAGGAGCTCTCATGCCTCCCTGTTTACCTGGTTTGATTACCATGTGAAATCATGTTTATTTGTTTTCTTCTTTACTATCATTCACCTATGTAAGCTTGACCACACTGTATGTCTAGCACCTAGAACAATAGCCGATACCCTTAGGAACTGATACAGCGATTGTCTCCAGGTGGTAGAGATACCTGGACCAATAATTGACAAATAAGAGATTCTGTTTTCACTGAGGGTGACAGCTCTTTTTTGTTATTGTTAATCCTCACCTGAGGATATTTTTTCCATTGATTTTTAGAGCAAATAGGAAGGAAGGGGAAAGACAGAGAAACATCGATGTGAGAGAGACATATCAAATGGTTGCCTCCTGTATGCACCCCAGGTGCGGCCGGGGATCAGGCCTGCAACTGAGAGGTACGTGCCCTTGATCAGAATTGAGCCTAAGACCTTTCAATCCGAGGGCTGACGCTCTATGCACTGAGCCAAACCAGCCAGGGCGAGGGTGACAGGTCTTGCTACTTCGGAGGATCTCACAGAGAGAATGGGAGCTGGGGGAAACAGAGAAGTAAACAGATAACAGTAATAAATACCATGATAAAGAAAGCACAGGGGAGAAGTGGACTGTCTACCTGGATTGAAAAGAGCCTAGAAGTCTTCTAGGGAAATAAAAATCTAAGCTGAGGCTTGCGGAATCAGTAGGAATCAGCAAAGTGAGTTGGGGAGGAAATGCTGCCGGTGAGAAGAACAGTCTGTGCCAAGGTTCTGAGACAGAGGGCTTGGCGCTTTGTGCGAAGTGAGAGTGATGTGGTTTGTGCCCTCCACTGCCTCTGGCTGAGGGACCACTGAGCCCGGCACACATGTCCGGTGGGCACTGCCCCTTCTCTTTCCACTGCTCAGAGTTGTCTGGTGTTTCTCTTTCAGTTGAAGGAAAAATTAGCATTCTTGAAAAGAGAATATAGCAAGACTCTGGCCCGTCTTCAGGTAAGTGAATCTTATTCTCTCAAATTGAGGTATTGTAGTACAAACTGTAAACAATTCTTCATAATACTGAAGGTTTAAAAAAAATTATTTTCCCTTAAATTTGTTCCTTGAGCTGCTTTTGCTTTCTCTAGCGGGCCCAAAGAGCTGAGAAGGTTAAGAGTTTTATTAAGAAAACAGTGAAAGGACAAGATTGCTTGCTCCAGCCAGAAGTTTCACCGCAGCTGAACCACTCAGGTAAAGCTAGCCCACTCACTCACGCTTGCTTTATTATTCATTGTCCAGGGGTATTGGCTGCGGTTCTTTTCCTCATGAGGATGCAATGGACTCTTTAAAGTGTACAATTGGGTGGTTCTTTCTGTATATTCACAGGAGCATGCAACTATCATCACTATTTCTAGAACATTTTCACCACTCCCAAAAAGAAACCCCTTACCCATCCCTGCCCCCCAACCCCTGGCGAGCACGAATCTACTTTCTGTTTCTGTGGATTAACCTTTTCTGGATAATTCATATAACTGCAAACACACAATATGTGGCCTTTGGGACTGGCTTCTTTTACTTAGCATAATGTTTTCAGTGGTCATCCTCCCAGACGTACATACATCCAGACATGCATCATTACCCATTCCCTTTTGCAGGCGAGTAATGTTTCATTGTATAGGTGTACCATCATTTGTTAATCCTCACCCGAGGATACTTTTTCCCCATTGATTTTTAGAGAGAGTAAAAGGGAGGGGGAGAGGCAGGGAGAGAGAAACATTGGTGTGAGAGAGACATGTGCCCCGACTAGGGCCAGGGATCAAGCTTGCAACCAAGGTACGTGCCCTTGACTGGAATTGATCCCATGACCCTTTAGTCTATGGGCCAACGCTCTAACCGTTGAGCCAAACCAGCCAGGGCGATGTACCATTATTTGTATATCCATTCATCAATTGACGGACATTTGGGTTGTTTCTTAATCTTGGCTTATCAGCACAACACTCTAACCAACTAAGCTAACCAGCCAGGGCTATGTTTCACTTTTTTAGTAATTGCCAAACTTTCCTATAGCAGCTGCACCATTTTGTATCCCACTACAATGTGGGTAAGGATTCAAATTTCTCCACATCCTCGCCAGTATTTTTAGTTTGCCATTTTAAAATTATAACCATCCTGGTGGATGTGAAGTGGTATCTAATTATGGTTTTAATCTGCATTTCTCGGTGACTAATGATGTTGAGCATCTTTCCATGTGCTTAGAGGCCATTTGTCTATCTTCTTTAGAGAAATGTCTATTCAAGTCCTTTGTCAATATTTTAGTTAGGTTATTTGTTTTTTAATTCTGGGGTTGTAAGGGTCCTCATACTGTAGCTATTCAACCCTTATTAAATGCATGATTTGTAAATATTTTTTCTCACTCTATGAATGATAAACTATGCTTTCAGTTGGATTGTTTTTTTAGTGCTCTTTTTCCCTCTCAACTTTTAGTAATTATACTTATTGCTTAGTTATTGGAAAGATTTTTTAAAATATATTTTTATTGATTTCAGAGAGGAAGGGAGAGGGAGAAAGAGAGAGAAACATCAATGACAAGAGAGAATCATTGATAGGCTGCCTCCTGCACGCCCCACACTGGGGATTGAGCCCACAACCTGCACACGTGCCCTGACTGGGAATCGAATCGTGACTTCTTGGTTCATAGTCGATGCTCAACCACTGAGCCACACTAGTAGGGCTGGAAAGATTTTAAAATTAAATTTCTACATATGTACAGAGAAATGTGTCTGGCTGGAAGTATTCTAAAAAACAATGGCCATGCCCTAGCTGGTTTGCCTCAGTGACTAGAGCGTTGGCCTACTGACTGAAGGGTCCCAGGTTTGATTCCAGTCATGGGCACATGCCTGGGTTGCAGGGTTGATCCCCAGTAGGGAGCATGCAGGAAGCAGCCGATCAATGAGTCTCTCTTGTCATTGATGTTTCTCTTTCTCCCTCTCCTTTCCTCTCTGAAATCAATAAAAATATACTTAAAAAATGGTCATTTCTCATGTTAATACTTAAGTCATTTATAATCATAAAATTGGAGGCTATTGAAATAGGAATGAGGTATTAAAATTACTTGAGACCTGACCGGTGTGGCTCAGTTGGTTGAGCATTGTCCTGTGCACCAAAAGGTCACTGGTTCCACCCCGGACAAGACACATGCACAGATTGCAGATTTGATTCCCAGGCAAGGGCACATGCAGGATGCAACGGATCGATGTTTCTCTCGTATCAATATTTGTCTCTCTCTCCCCTTCTCCCTTCCTCTCTGTCTCTAAAATTAATAAAAATGTATTTTTTAAAAATTACTTGAGCCCCCCAAAAAACAAACATGAAATAAAATGTTAAGTGAGATATGGGGAGATATTGGTCAAAGGGTACAGAGTTTCAGTTATACAGAATGAATAAATTCTAGAGATCTAATATACAGCATGGTGATAATAGTTAATCCTGCATGTATATTGTGTACTTGAAATTTGCTAAGAGAACTGATCTTAACTGTCCTCAACATACACAAAGACATTGTAACTATATGAATTGATGGATATGTTAATTAACTTGATTTTGGTAACACTTTGCAATGTATACATATATCAAAATATCACATGTACACCTTAAATTTATATAGTTTTTATCAGTTGTACCTCAGTAAAGCTGCAAAAAAATAAGAAAAAAAAATGACTTCAGCCCTAGCTGGTTTGGCTCAGTGGATAGAGCGTCAGCCTGTGGACTGAAGGGTCCCTGGTTTGATTCTCGTCAAGGGCACATGCCTGGTTTGTGGGCTTGATCGCCAGTAGGGAGTGTACAAGAAGCAGCCAGTCAATGATTCTCTCTCATCATTGATGTTTCTATCTTTCTCTCCCTCCCCCTTCCTCTCTGAAATCAATAAAAACATTTATTAAAAAAAAATTACTGCAATAAAAATAGATAATCTTTTAGTTTAAAAGACATTCTAGCACAATTCTGTTTGTTTACATTTATTTAAAATTATTATGATTAGATTATGAAAAACTTGAACTTTGTTTTGCTTGAGTGGAATACATTAACTACTAAGTAAATATTTATAATATTTTAAAGTAATACAGTATTTTTTATGTAATATTTAAAAGTAAATGTGGCATTTCTGGTTTCACTTTAAAGGGAAAATATTAATTATATAAATTTTTCTCCTTAGAAACTAAAACTAAAGTATCTTCTTGTGATGCATTTCAAATCAACACCTGTCTCAATGAAGAAAATGGAGATGTTGAGCCTGAGTCTTCCAACGCTGGACATGGCCCAGTGGAAGGATTACACATGCAGAGAACAGATGATACACAAGAGGATGTTGCCTACAGTGTCAGTGGCCCTGATGGTGAGAAAAGGCAGAGTAAGCTTCCAGGGAGAAGAAAGAAGCAACAGAAGAGAACATTTATTTCACAAGAGAGGGAGTCTTTCTTTGACCCTGATCCACTTACCCTGTCTAGAAAAAAACTTAAGGAACAAGAAGAAATCAATAGAGAAAATCCTGAGACACCTGTAGCTAAAATAAGAACTGACTTTCCAAGTCCTCAGTCTGAACTTCCAGATTCTCAAGCACCAGTTACAGGAACTAATGGAGGGAGTGTTGTAATTCCACCAAAGGCCAAACCACAAAGCAGTGTGGATGCTCTTTCAGGAGGGAATCATCTCCCCAGGGTGTCCCCACCTCCTGTGCATACTCCATCAGACAGCAGTAGTGGTCAGCCCCTTCAACATCGGCCTTCTAAAAGGAACTGTGAACGTATTCCTCATGGCTTAAAAAACATTAGCCCTACCTCACCTGTCAACTTAGAGGCACAGGACAAAAAAATAACTGTCTTTACAGGTAACCCAGAGGTAAATAAAAATGTAAGTCCAAGTGGCCAGCTGCTTAGAAGTCTTGACTTAGAGGCTGATAATGCATATTCTGTAAATGAATTCGCTTATAGCTTATCAGCAAATAAAAACCAAAGCTTAAAAGAACAAGATCACGCAGAGAAGTCTTCAGAATCTCCCAGTAGTGCTCTTGATGGTAGAAATGAACATTTTCAGGAAAGTGAGGTTCTCAGTCAGTGTAAAAGTCTTGGCCCAGAAATAATCTCTCCTGTTTCTGCAGAAAATCAAGCACATTCTTGCACCGTGCTCGAAGGCCTTTTTCCTGCAGAATATTATGTAAGAACAACGCGACATATGTCAAATTGCCAGAGGAAAGCAGCCCTGGAGGCTGTAATTCAAAGTCACTTGGGTGTCAAAAAGAAAGGCATTAAAAATAATAAAAAGGAAGCTACTAAAATTTTAAAATTTTCCAATGAAGAAACTAACCAAGATGAACTTAGGGTGTATGACAGGTGCACAGAAAAAGCAAGTTCAAGAAGTCCTTTTCAGAGATTTCTCTCATTAACTGAAGTCAGCTCTCCCACTGGGCACACCACGGATGATTTTTCTAGGACTTCGGTTACACAGTCATCTGGTAAAAGACACAGAGGGAAAAGAAAGTCAGTCCCCACCCCTACATTACATCATCATGAACTACTTTTGCCCACTTCTGGCGCATCAGGTGTTAATAGGTCCAAGGACAAAGATCAGAATGAAAAAGCAGTTATTCATGGTAAGAGGGGAGTTCAAGGTAAATCAAGGTGTGGTTGAGGATGGTGATGATGATGGCCTCTAAAGCTTCCTATGTTCCTGGCGCTTTCTAAATGTCATACAGACACTAACTCACTGAATCGTCACAGGAGGTAGAATCTGTTTTTATCCTTGCCTTACAGAAGAAACTAAGGCATAAGGAGATTAAAGTGCTTTAATTGATTAAAGTGACAGAACGGGGTTCAGACCTGGCCATGTGATGCTAGAGTTCACTATTCTGGTTGGAAAAGTTGACACTGAGAGGGAAAATATATTGGAAGTTTACCTAAAATTAGTATTCAGGTACAACATAGTCTTTATCCAAGGGTAGAAATATAACTAATATAGAAAGTGTTTCTGAAGTATAATGAAATATGTGTCAGACTCTCACAGGAATGATTGTGGAATAAAATACAATCAAATCTGAGCAACTTTTTTGAGTAAAATAGCCAATATAATCTCTCTGAGCTCTGTGGGATACAAGATTTTGGAAGCTAGCAAGTGAATATTTATTCATTTACTTGCAAGTCATATCTGATAAACTGAGCATGAAAACTGGATAGTTCACTCTGCTTCTGTATTAGAGGTCAGCAAACTTTCTATACAGGGCCATGTAGAAAATTGTGCTCTCTTAGAGCTACTCAAGTAAAGTGCAAAAATAGCCACAGACAACATGTAAATGTGACCATATTCCAATAACACTTATTTACAAAAATAAAACCTACTTTCTCTATGTCCTTGGACTCAGGCCCTGGTCTGTGTGCTATAATTAATCCAAATATACAAAAACCTAACTGACTGAACGACCCATCGCCGTGATGCTCACTGACTACCCAGGGTCAGACGCTAAACACAGGAGCTGCCCCCTGATGGTCAGTGTGCTCCCACAGCCAACCTCCTGCGGCCCCGATTGAATTCGTGCACCGGGCCTCTAGTTAAAAATAAGAGTCATTATGATGTATCATCTTCTAAGTCAATAAGAATACAAAGGAATAGCCGAAACCGGTTTGGCTCAGTGGATAGAGCGTCGGCCTGCGGACTGAAAGGTCCCAGGTTCGATTCCGGTCAAGGGCATGTACCTCGGTTACAGGCACGTCCCCAATGGGGAGTGTGCAGGAGGCAGCTGATCGATATTTCTCTCTCATCGATGTTTCTAACTCTATCTCTCTCCCTTCCTCTCTGTAAAAAATCAATAAAATATATTTTAAAAAAAAGAATACAAAGGAATAGAAAGTAGGGCAATATAAGAATAAACTAGAAACTTTCTTTTCTATATGTTGACATAATCTGCTATTTTAGTACCCAGTAAGCATTTAATCTTCATTTCTTGTCATCCAGCCCTTGGCAACCATCAATCTATTCTATATGGGTTTACTTATTTCATGTAAATGTATTATACAATGTGTGGTCTTTTACATCTGGCTGCTTCCACCTTGCTTTCAAGATACATCCATGTTCTAGCATGTATCTGTACGTCATTCTTTTTTTATGGCTGAATAATCCATTGTGTATATATATGTATTAGCATTTATTCATTCATTATTAGGTGATGGATTCAGATGCATTTTGAATGGTATAGAAGAATTCCAGTCTCTAAGAATCCTATATAATAAAACCCTAATATGCAAATCGACGGAGTGGCAGAATGACCAGTTGCTATGACGTGCACTGACCACTAGGGGGCGCTGCTCAGCCAGAAGCCGGGCTCACAGCTGGTGAGCACAGCAGCTGTGGCAGGAGCCTCTCCTGCCTCCGAGGCAATGCTGAGGAGCAAGCCCAGCTTCTGGCTGGCAAGCGCAGAGGTGGTGGTGGGAGCTTCTGCCTCTGTGGCAGGCAGACATCCCCCAAGGGGTCCCGGACTGCAAGCGGATGCAGGCTGGGCTGAGGGACACACACAACGCCCCTCCCCCCCCGCCCCAGTGCATTAATGCCGTGCACCGGGCCTCTAGTAGTAAATAACTCTTTGCTTGAAAGGGGGTCTAAGTTTTCCTCAGTGAGAAAAGCCAGCATTTTGTAGACTGTATTCTGGTAGTTTGTTGGAGTCATAGTTTTAGAGCAGAAAGGACTTTAGAGATTCTTAGTCCATTTCCTTTCTGAGGGGCCAGGGAAGATGAAGGGCATTGACTTGCCCAAAGTAGCACAGCAAGTCGGTGGCTGAGCTGGGACTAGACCCCTGTCTTCCCCCAACTAACACTGTCAGCACCTGTTTGGGCAACTGCACAAGAAGAGCTGCTAGTTAACCACGAACCTGTGGCTGATTTTTGAACTGTTCACTGAGGTTTCAGGGTCTCGGGGGAGGAAAGTGATGAACTGTTACATCCTGTTGGAGTTCAGAAGTGCACTCTTTGTTGGGGGTTAATGTCTCTTGTTGGGTATTTGTTATTATTGTTCCTTTCTGTTTTAGGGAAGGAAGGTCACTGCCAAAAAGAGGACTCCTTTTCTCCCATTAATAACACCTATTTAGCTTTGGGCGGCGATGCTCCCAGTGCTCCGCCTCATAAGAATGAAATGCTAAGTGTAAAGCAACTGTCGTCTTTTCTCAAAATCACAGACTTTCAGTTACCTGATGAAGAGTTTGGATCTCTTAAGCTTGAAAAACTGAAGTTCTGCTCAGAAAAGCTGATTGAGCCTTTCGGATCAAATGTGTATGGAGAGAGGCATCTGAAAGAGGGAAATTATCTTGTTTTGGAGGAACTGACTCCTAAGCAAATCCACATGGAAATGGAGGACTTGGAAGAGGAACTGATTGTTCTACCAGGAAAAGCACCTGAAATGCCAGAGCCAAAAAGCCAGCCTGGGCAGGCTGCTTGTGACAGGAAGGAAGGGACAGCCTGGCGGTGCCTACGACTCCGGTCCCCAAGCAACACCTTTCCCCACTGAGTCATTCCCTTCCAAAGAAAGTCCGCTCTGTGGAAGCAAATGCCTTGGCTCAGGGGAACATTCCATCGAACAGGTACAATCTGCTTCCTTTGTGACATTTTCTCTGAAGGAGTGACGCACCTCAGTGACTTCTGTGCACATTGGCTCCTCGGTGTTTAAGAATGTTTTGATATGTTTCCTTGATAGGACATCACTGTAAACTTTAAGTTCATTCTGGGGAAATTAAAGTTAATTTAAAAATGTCTTTAATATTGGCTTTGTCATCAGTGAAGCAGTTTGCCATAAGAAGAGGGCATTTTGATGAGTGAATGATGCGGCAGATGTCATACGTAAAGTGTGGATTAATAGTGTGACTTTTGTTTCTACAGACTGAATTAGCAGACGTTCCTGCTTGTGACAGCTTAAACCCAGGCAACCTACAGTTGGTTTCAAAGTTAAAGGTCAGAACACTGTTACCTTCTAATGTGTCTTTGTCTTACATGTAAAAAAAATGTGATGAATAGGAAAATGGAGAATTTTATTAGATAGCTTTTCATTTTTTTAAATAGGTTTTTATTGATTTCAGAGAGGAAGAGAGAGAGAAACATCAATGGTAAGAGAGAATCATTAATTGGCTGCCTCCTGCACCGCCCCCCACCGGGAACCGAACCCACAACCCAGGCATGTGATGTGCCCTGACTGGGAATCAAACTATGACCTCCTGGTTCACAGGTAGACACACTCAACCACTGAGCCACGCCGGCCAGGCAATAGCTTTTCATTCTTAGCTTAATACTATTACATAAATTTGGTAAAAAGGATTCAGAAAAACAGATTTAAGTTCTTTGTTTTTCACAGTATTCACCTATATTTATATTTTGAGATCATCTGAAGAAGTTTGTATGTCAAGCTATTGCCAAGAAAACTTAAGCTCAGTAACTCAACTTATTTAAATAAAAATCAGGCATTAACAGAGGGAGAGAAAGAAAGAGGAGTCATTTGTGACTCTCCTATCCAAATCATCTAATGTTTCTAGAAGAACCACTTAAGGTGATATATCAGAAAATGGGTAGCAGTTCTTGATTGTGATGTAGTGAATGGTTAATCTTTATATGCTGTGTGATGTATGTGGTTCTAAGAAATATAAATTACAATATTCTGTTAATGAGCCCTGGCCAGTTGGTTAGAGTGTCATCCTGATATGCCAAGTTTGCAGGTTCCGTCCCCTGTCAGGGCACAAGAAGCAATCAGTGAATCCATAAAATCAGTGGAACAACCAAGTTGATTTCTCTCTCTCTCTCTCTCCCTCCCTCTCTCCACTCTGAAAAGCAATGGAATAAATATCCTCAAGTGAGGATTAACAAAACAAACAAACCAAAAAAAAAAAAAAAGAGAAAAAAAAACATCCATACAACTCAAAGAGTCTCTCTCAATTCAATAAATGTTTTCTTAAACTGATCATTGCATTAAAAAAACAATATTCTGTTAATGACATTTTAGTAAATCCTGAGAATTAGACTGGACCTGTGACTTAATTACCTTTGTATTCACGGTGTAGAGTACGGTTTCTCAATGTCAGCGTTGCTGACATTAGGGGCTGGATAATTCTTTGCTGTGAGAGGTTGGGTGGCCTGTGCATTGTAGGATGTTCAGGAGCAGCCTTAGCCTCTACCAAATGGAGCCAGGAGCACCCCCTCCCTAGCTGCAACAACCAAAAATGTCTGCAGACATTGTCAGGTGTTCCCCAAGGAGGGTTGCAGAATTGCCCCCAATTGAGAACAACTGGTACGGAAGAGTTTAAAATCCACATAAATTGTTTGCCAATTACTGGCTTGTGACCTTGTGCAAATCATTTAGCCTCTGAGCTCCAGATTCCTTTTCAATAAAAGATACATAGTAATACCTGTGTCATTTCAAAACTATTCTTCAATCAATTTTAATAATTTAGTTTCTTGCCGAAACCGGTTTGGCTCAGTGGATAGAGCGTCGGCTTGCGGACTGAGAGGTCCCAGGTTCGATTCTGGTCAGGGGCATGTACCTGGGTTGTGGGCACCTCCCCGGTGGGAGATGTGCAGGAGGCGGCTGATCGATGTTTCTCTCTCATCGATGTTTCTAACTTTCTATCTCTCTCCCTTCCTCTCTGTAAAAAATCAATAAAATATATTTTAAAAAAAATAATTTAGTTTCTTCAGGAATCAACTGTTTCATTGTGTCTTCAAGTAACAGCCCCCATTTCTAAAAAATATTTTTTTCCTACATCAGATTTACGAGATTTGTCCATTCTGTTGGTCTCATAGAAAATTAGTTTTTGGTTGTACTGATAGTTGGAGTTTTCATTTCCTATTTCATTTACTTTTGTTTTTACCCTTAACTCCTTCCTACTGTTTTTCATTGTGGTCCTTTCATTGTTCTTTTACTTTCTTGAGTTGCTTGCTTACTTTATCTTTCTGCTTTTTAAAAAAATATATTTTATTGATTTTTTACAGAGAGTAAGGGAGATGGATAGATAGTTAGAAACATCGATGAGAGGGAAACATCGATCAGCTGCCTCCTGCACACTCCCTACTGGGGATGTGCCCCCAAACAAGGTACATGCCCTTGACTGGAATCAAACCTGGACCCTTGAGTCCGCAGGCCAACGCTCTATCCACTGAGCCAAACCAGTTAGGGCCTTTCTGCTTTTTAATAAATACATTTATGATTGATTATACTTTTTGGGGGAAATCTTGCTTTGGCCACATGCTGCGTGTTTGTTCTCCCCCCCACGCCCCCCCACCATGCTGTATGTTTGGATGCCTAGTGCTCTCCTTGCTGTTCATTTAGAAATAGTGTGTTATTTCAACCCATGAGTGGTTCATCAGGATGTTTAATTTCTAAGTGGGCATGTTCTTATGGGCTATCTTTTGTGGTTAAATTTGAATGTATTCTATTCTGGAGTAGTCTATTCTTTTACTTTTTTAGGTTTTTTTGTATGTGTGTTTTTTTGAGAGAGAAAGAGAGAGAGAAACATCCATTGGTTGCCTCCTGTATGCGCCCCGACCAGAGATTGAACCCGTAATCTAAGTCTGTTCCCTGACCTGGAATCCAACCTGCAATCTTTAGGTGTATGGGACTATGCTCCAACCAAGTGAGCCACCCAGCCAGGGTGGAGCTATGCTTTTAAATTACATCATGAGATGAAGGTGTATGGGCAATTCTTTTTAGTTACCTGTAAGACCCACCATGCTCTATTTTGACCTGCATAAAACTTTCATTACACTTACTTGGTATTTAATTAATCCTTGTCATGCATCACTTTTCATATTTTTTTCATAAAACAGACCCCAAGTATCCCTTTAGCATAACATTATTGCCATTCTGGTTAGAATCCTTCAGGTTCCTGTTCCGTGGATGTGAGTGCCATGTGGTGGGAAATAGCTGGTGTCAAAGAGCCGTGTATCATAACTGCTTGTGAATATGCAGTTTCTCTTTGGAAACCTCTGGATACTGGGCAGTGGGAAAAAATGTATTCCTGGCACTTTGCAGAGGTGAGTCCAAGTCTAAAAGAGATCTTTGCGGTTATTTGCATGATAATGGATGGGCAGCTTACCAAAGGGGGAGCAGGGGTCTGTGACTGCAAAACAGAACGGAGAGATAAGCTTTATTAGGAGAATTTCAAACATAACAGAAAAATGGTGCAGTGAGCACCATGTCCCTGCCATCTAGTCTGCAGTTCACATTGTGCTTCATTAGCTTTACTGCACGTTCACCCAGAGGTGGGTCTTTATCTCGAGCTGATGAAGCAGCTTGGCATTTCCATCTGTTCTAAGTGTGCTGACACCCACCGATCTTACCCTTCGTGAAAGCATCGTTCCTGCTGCTTTTCCGCATGTGTTTTCTTCCAGGTCCTGTCCACCTTCATACATGTGCACCTGGTGCACTCCTAGTGGCTTACAATTTTTAAACTGCTTTTTCTCACTTAGCATATAAACAGTTCTCCTTCATACTTACCTATGTAGAATTTTACTTATATCTCCAGATTTATTCAGGTATAATTGACAAATAAACTTGTAATATGTCTAAAGTGTACTTAGCGATCATTTGATATGTGTATACATTGGGAAAGGAATCCCACAGTTAAGTGATGGAACACATCCATCACTTTGCATAATTACCTTTCTTTTTCTTTTTGTGAGAACCTTAAAGATTTAATCTCCTCTCTTAGCATATTTCATTCTTGTTCTCTAGTCTATCCACAGCTTCTTGCTCTGTGCTTGTGCTCAATAAATAAATATTTGTTCAGTGAATAAATTTATTTTAATGGTTGTATTGGCTCAGATGCTAGAATTTACTTAACTGTTCCCCTGTTGGTAGGAGCATAAGCTGCGTGAATAAATGCTGCAGTAAACACTGTTATGCATGTAGCTTATTTGGATTTACGACTAATAAAAAAAGGGTGTTTGCCGAACCTTCTCACATTTCCAAATGTTGGAAACTATCCTGGTATAGTAAGAATGAAAACAAGATGCAACAAATTTTGGAAAATTTAGATTGATTAAAAATGAAACAACCAAACATCATTTTGGCTCTTATTTTATTTAGGTTCCAGTGTTACAGATAGTTCCCATGCCTGATGTGTGTAATCTTGTGTGTGTGGCCTTGGGGAATTTGGAAATCAGAGAAATCAGGTGTGTAGTTCTCCAGAAGTTTTCTTTTCCTTTATCTATCACTTGATCCCGCACTTAAGTTTCCTTTTAAAATTTGAACCTAGTCCTTTACTATTAAAGACTTATTCCTGCCCTGGCCGGTGTGGCTGTTGGTTGAGCATCCCATGCACTGAAAGGCTGTAGGTTCGATTCTCGGTCAGGGCAAGTGCCCAGGTTTCGTCCTTGATCCAAAACCTGGCCTTCCCTGAGTCTGCCCCACATACATGTCATTTAAAAGGTCAGCCAGATAATTAGGCAGAGATTATAGCAAGAGTTTAGGGCTCTTTTCTGGCGCTCTCTGCATTTGGGATTTCTCTGCCTCACTTTCACGCTGAACCCGTAGGACAGAAGGGAAGCAACCGGTGGATGTTTCTCTCTCTCCCTCTCCCTCTCTCTGTAAAATCAATTTTTAAATCTTATTTAAAAAAAAAAATCCCAGCGGGGCCTCCAAAAAATAAATAAATAAATAAAATAAAAATTAAAAAAAGAAAAAAGACTTCTGACTTCTCTGCATTTTTTTATCTTTGACTTAGGGCGTTACTTTGTTCCTCTGACGGCGGATGTGAAAAGCAGGTGCTGCTGAGGACTGGAAATATACACGCTGTGCTTGGCCTGACAGAGAGAAGGCTCGTCAGCAGCAGCAGGGCCCTCTGTGACCAGCAAGTAGAGATCGTGACATTTGCAGACGGAGGGTAAGAAAGGCACCAGCTGATGTAACCATTCGATAAAGAATGATTTCATCCCCGGGTTTCAGAGACAGTTGGATCCCCAGCATCTTGTCTTTCTGTGCTGTGGGCGTGGTGTCGCAGGTCCTGCTCAACACTGGAACGTAGAGCAGTTAGAAGGGTGGAAGCGGACGTGCAGGGAGGAAACCAGTGCAGTGGAGAGGCTCAGCAAATGTTGTTTGTTCCTTTTATCTTTGAAATCTCTGTGTGCCCCTTAAACATTCCAGGTACCTCAAGATTCTAGACCCTTCTCTTGCTCCATGCACTTGGTTTTCATGGCTTCAGTTACTGTCCAGCTGCTGACTACTTCTGAACATACATTTCCAGCTCTGAGCTCTTTCTTGACCTCTAGACCTGCATGCCTCTTCATTAGACACCTGGGGTTCCCTCGGATTCAACACGCTGAAAACGAAGCTCTTAGTGTCCTCTGTGTCTGTTGTATACTCCTTTATATACTTTATTGTTATTACTAATCTGTCTTTTCTAGTAATAGACGGCATATCTTTTTATAAACTGCTGCAGTAATCTAGACAAGAGACAATTATTTGCTTAAATTAGGAAAGTGTTAGTGCAGATGGGGAGAAGCAGACAGATTTGGGATAGGTGAGATGATAAAATCATTAGGACTTGGTGATAGAGGACATAGAAAGGAGGGAGACAAGGAAAATGTCCAGGTTTCTGGGCTGACCACCTGGGTGATGGTACCATTCGTTGAGATAGGAATGCAGAAAGAAACGCGAAGTTTAAAGAGAGAGCTGGTGAATTTAGTTGGATATGATGAGTTTGTGGTGCTCGCAGAATATCCAGGTAGATAATTAGAAGTAATACATGTTGTAGAAAGTTTAGCGTATACATGTTTTTTGATTGGATCTTTTTTCTGGTATTGGGTTAAAGTTTATTGTACAGAGTTCAATAATATGTAGAAGGTCTGCTTAAAAAGTGCTTTGCTACACATTTTCCCTTTCCACTGAAGATGAAAGAGTGGGTTTCCCTGGCTGAGCTAAAGCACTGAAGATACCTCACTGGAGCAGAGCTGAGGAGACCAGCACAGGCCAGGACAGACCAAAGCACAGTGGAGCAGACCAGCACAGAGCAGAGCAGATAGGGGCCTGGCCTCAGGCCCACCTGGTCCTAGGACTGCCTCACAACCGTGCTATTTTCACAGCTGTGCTGTATCACAATTGAGCTCTTTTCCACTGAATAAAGTTTCCTTCTTCACCGCATCTCCCCCCCCCGCCCCCCAAAAAAGTGCTTTGCTACGAAGTGCTGGTTTTTAATGCTATTTTAAATGCAGAAGTGAAGAAAAACAGTTTTTGATGCCTCCCGAAGAGACGGTACTAACTTTTGCTGAGGTTCAAGGGACACAAGAAGCTCTGCTTGGTACCACTATAATGAACAACATTGTTATTTGGTAAGTTTTCCCTCAAGATCCTCAGTTTCCTCTTCTGTAATATAAGGATATACCTCTAATTTCACAGGGTCATTAAGATGAAATAAGAGGCCGTAAATATGATAGTTTTTGTTTGTTTACTGTCAGATGCTAGGTACTTAATAAGAACATCATATCAATTCAGACATTGTGAAAATTATCAGTCTGAGTAGACTATCAATGAATGAAATTTTATTGGGAAAAATGTATGATTGTTTCTGCTTCTGGTTAGTGCTTGAGTGGCTTCTACCAGACCAACTCTCCTACTTCAAGTGACTATAAACTCTGGAATAAATATAAAAATCAACTAACTCAAGACACTGGAGAGTGAGCAAAAGAATAAAGATACTGGAGGGGGTTCGACCCTTAGAGACAGGAAATGTCACTGGACAAGTTTCCGGTTCTTATGGCTTTTAGTAGAGGGCAGGCTCCACTCCACCACTGATTCGCCAAAAGCTTGGTAGAAACCTTCTGATGTGTTGTAGAATTGTACACCTGAAAGATGTATAATTTTGTAAACCAGTGTCTCCCCAATGCATTCTTGTTGTTAATCCTAACCCAAGAATATTTTTTCCATTTTTCTTTTTTAAGAGAGAGTGGAAGGAAGGGAGGTGGGAGAGAGAGAGAGAGAGAGAAACATCAATCTGAGAGTCACATTGATTGGTTGCCTCCTGCACGTGCCCCGACTGGGCCAGGGATAAATTCTGCAATCCAGGTACATGCCCTTGACCTGGAATCGAAACCTCAGCCCTTCGGTCTGAGTGCCAACGCTCTAACCATGGAGAAAACCAGCCAGGGCTCCCAAATACATTTAATAAAAAGAAAACCTGCTGTCCTGCTGGTTCAGTGTGAAAGTGAGGCAGAGAAATCCCAAAAGCAGAACGCCAGAGAAGAGCCCTAACTTTTGCTATCATCTCTGCCTAAATATCTGGCTGACCTTTTAAATGACACGTATGTGGGGCAGACTCAGGGAAGCCTGGGTAAGGTATAAAGAACTGAACTAGGTTTTAAAGCAACTGGAATTTGAGGTTAGCCAAGTTAACAGGTTACTGGGTGGGTGGGAGGGGGGCCAGAATTAATACTCTTCAGGGAAACCTAAGAGAATCCAGAGTTTATGTTTAAGTGTCATTCGTGATGCCTAGACTATAATCCAGAATTACCAGGTACATAAAAAATGGTTCATTTCAGGATCCAATTAGTAACTTTGTGATAGGGAAACTGAAGTCAAGGAGTCCCCAGCCACCTCTCTTTCCTGACCACAGGGAGAACCATGCCTGGCCATCAGTACTTGCAGGGTTAATTTGTATTAGGAGAATAATGATTTGTTTTTTCCTCAGAAGCTTTTCCATTAACTGTTTCCTTGGGGCCAGAATGGGTCTTGAAAAGAGAAAGTTATGATATGAATGTCACTATTACCTACCTCTTCTGCACTGCGCATTGCTAACCTTCTGGGAATAACGTAGGAAAGCATGGCCCCTGAGAGAAGTCTTGCCCTCCTCCCCTGGGAGCCCTGAAAGGGGACCGTGTTCTAGCCTGCCAGGAGCCTGTTCTCACATTGCTTCATCTAGAGCAGCAGGCTCCCACTTGGGCACTTCCCTCAGGTCTCAGGTCTTATTGGAGGACAGTGTTCTTTACCAAAGTTCTCTTTTCTATTCTTTCTGCTATTTCTATAGTCCAGACTTCATTATGTAGCTCCGAGACTATTAATTTAATCTAGTAATTGCCATGAACCAATATTCAACCTCCAGATCATCTTTTATGCTGTTATTTTATAAACACTCTTACTCCCAGCTCTCTCCCCTCTGCCCCAGAAAGAAAACCTTTTGTGGGGCCCATGTTTGCTTTCCTTCAGCTTCCATTTCCCAGGCTGCACTACAAAAATTCCCTCTTCAGTGCTCCATACACTTGGCTCCCTTTTTTCTTCCCATCCCTCGTTTCCCCCCTTTTGCTAATAGTTGTCTTTTAGCATCTCATATGTAATGGATCACAACAGAATTTGGGATTGGGGAGGGATCTCTATACTAAGAGTAAGTTTGAGTCCTAATTAAGGGGTACCTTCCCCCACAGTTGCCTTGAGTTCTGTCATATCACCTCAGCCCTCATTGGCATTTCCCTGTCTGAATGCCTGGGCCCTGATTTTTAATTTAGCTTGTGCTACTTTGTATTATGGAAGTCCTTGAAGATAGTGCCACATCCTATATCAGTTCTTAGTGCCTGTCTTAGCTGTTTGCTTAGGGTAGCTACTCAAAGAAGTATGGCTCGCACTGTCTATCAGAAGCTATCTTTTACCTTTGGGCTCTCTATAACTATAAGATGTCCCTCAAAAAAGTATATACACTTTGCCATGGCTGATTTGGCTCAGTGGATAGAGCGTCGGCCTATGGACTGAAGGGTCCGGGTTCAATTCTGATCAGGGGCACGTGTCTGGGTTGTGGGCTTGGTCCCTGGTGGGAGGCATGCAGGAGGCAGCTGGTCGGTGATTCTCATCATTGGTGTTTCTATTTCTCTCTCCTTCTCCCTTTCTCTCTGAAATCAATAAAAATATTTTTTTTAAAAAAAATATATACACTTTAACAGCTGATAGCTCAATTTTTAAAACGAAATGTATTTTAATAAACACTGCCTTTATAGTTATTCAAAGTATGCATATACCTTTTGGGGGACACCCTATACATGTACATATAGTAGTTGTTCACCTTTCCTGTGGGACTCCTTATTTGTTGGGCGCCTAAAGCAATTCATGTTATACTCCAGGTCCAAGTGGCATTTTTTAAAATAATTTTTCCTGTTTTTATTGATTTTAGAGAGAGAAGAAAGGAGGGGGGGAGAAAGGGAGAGAGAGAAACATCGATGTGAGAGAGAAACATGCTGAACACACCCCTACTGGGGATGAGGCCCCACACTGGTAGGCATGTGCCCTAGCCAGGAATCAAACCAGCAACCTTTTGGTGCAGGGGATGGCTCCCAGCCAACTGAGCCACACCAGCCAGAGCTCAGTGGCCTGTTTTGAAACTACTGCTGGAGCTTTAAATATTAAATCTTGGTCAAGCTACATGAACTGAGTACCATCTTTCACTTATTTCATAGATATTTGAGTCTCTACTTCTCTGTGAGGGATGTAAATATGAATCCTGGCCCCAAGGCCCCTAAAAACTTGTAGGTAAATAAGATTGCTTCACAGTTCCTAGTGTCACAATAATAGAACTTTGGGATTTGGGAGAGAGCAGTTACTATCCAGAGAACATGCACTAACCTCTGTAAGGGATACACCTGCTCTGGTGTCCCTTGTGTGAGGAAAACCTGGCATACTTACATGAGAATTTAGCTTCCTGTCTTTAGTTTTGTATTCAGTACCTGGGCCCTAGAAGTTCAGAAGTATGTGTTGAATGATTGCATTCTACCCTATTACAGTATATATTACATTAAAAATAAGGCATGAGGACAGTACTATATGGAATTGGAGGTGAGGAGACTTCTGTGGACTGGTGCAGACAGGGAGGAGTGAGAGAGTCTAAACTGAGCTCATGCTGCTGGGAGAAGGTGGGACATAATCTGGGCCATAAGAAATGGATGGGTGTTGGTCAACACGGGGAGGAGGTTGGCCAGTAATGAGGGCATTCGGAGGGATAACTTGAACAAAGGCAGAGAGCTTGGAACATGCATACATGTTGAACAGATAGTGAGCTGTCGGGCACAGGAGCAGTGTGAGTAACAGTGCTACAGGGCTGGCTTCGTGAGGACCATAAATACCATGAAAAATTACTTTATCCGTGGCTAATGGGAGCCAACTGAAAGGGTTTCATAGGCAGAGTCACATGATAGAACAGTTGTTAATGTCACAAATCCTCCAGCTGAGGAGTGGTTCCAGCAAACTTTCTTGTTTCTTTTACATTTAGCCTCTTCTCTCCTTTCACCCTTTTTTCCATTTTTCACCCCAGCTCAGTCTTTCCTCCTTTCTCCGTTACCTGGGGCTGGCTCTGGAATAAGCAGACATTACAGAGACATAATTGTACGTCTCTTTCAGGTGTCATCTCTTGCCTAACCAGATTTGGTTTCCTGACCATTGTCCATGGAAAATTTAGGTATGACAAAAATTGTGACAAAATCATAATGATTAGAGCTATACCATGCGCCTAATTTTAATACCAAGTAAAATGAAATCATTGTGCCAAAACTGGTTTGGCTCAGTGGATAGAGCGTCGGCCTGCGGACTGAAAGGGCCCAGGTTCGATTCTGGTCAGGGGCATGTACCTTGGTTGCGGGCACATCCCCAGTGGGAGATGTGCAGGAGGCAGCTGGTTGATGTTTCTCTCTCGTCGATGTTTCTGACTCTCTATCCCTCTCCCTTCCTCTCTGTAAAAAATCAATAAAAATATATTTTTTTAAAAAATGAGATCATTGAAACCCTTTCTCCTTGAATTTGGAGAGATTTCTCCCTAGTGGCATAGCAGAGGGCTAAACTATCAAATTAAACCATTGGCCATCCCTGGCAAGTGTGGCGAAGTGGTTATAACAACAACCTGCACACCGAAAGGTCACAGGTTCAATTCCCCGTCAAGAACATGTACCTGGGTTGTAGGTTCGATCCCTGGCCCGGGTCTGGACATGTGTGGGAGACAACCAATTGATGTTTTCTCTCTCTCATCCCCTCCCACCTTCACTCCCTTCCACTCTAAAAAATCAATGGAAAAAATATCCGTGGCAGTGGATTAACAACAACAAAAACAAAAAACAATTGACCAAATTAAACTATAGTTCTATTTTTAGCTCAGGCTGTGATTAAACAAAACAAAGGTCCTGTGTCCCTTAGTTTGTTCTTGGTCCCCTCCTAACGGATGCTGTGATAAATAAGAGAGTTTGATGTGAAAACCAGTTTCCTGGAAGAGTGTTATCAGCTTACCTATTTTTGGTGTCTAAGGAATTTAAAAACTGGTCAGCTCCTGAAAAAGATGCACATTGGTGACTCCTACCAAGCCTCCATCTGTCACAAAGCCTATTCTGAAATGGTAAGTGCCAATCAGCCGGGACCATTCCGTGTCTGTTCTGAGGGCTACTCTTGGTATCACTGAGTGACTGCAATAACTTAGTGAGTAGTAATTGACTGGCCCTCCTTGTTGCCTGTTTCTTTCAAAATTGGACAGCAGTGTTTGTTCTTTCTTGGAATGGATGAAAATAAGTGTTGGTACAGTATGATTGCTTGGTGAATTTTCTGGCTGTATGACTTAAGGGCAAACATTAATTTCTGGCTGTGAATTTATACCGAGAAATACGATAATATTTACAGAATTGGCTCCCAACCACATTGCCATAAATCAGTGGTTCTCAACCTTGGCTGCACATTAGAATCACCTGGGAATCTTTTTAAAATCCTGATTTCTGGGCCTCATCCTCCGGAAATTCTGTTTCTTTGTTACTAATGTTGCGGTCCCACCCCATAACAAAGAAACAGAATTTCCGGGGGATGGGGCCTAGGAATCAGGATTTTTAAAAGATTCCCAGGTGATTCTAATATGCAGCCAAGATTGAGAACCACTGCCATAAATGATTTATGATGTGAATGTATATCCTGAGGAAGGATGATTAAATGGTCAGAGACATGCTTTTCTCTTAGACTTTAGTGTTCTCGTATAAAAACGAACCACAGCCTCTTAGCTATTATGTTAATACAGTTGGCTTACAATCTGGTCTTGGCATCTGAACAGGTTGGAGGTAGTTGTCCCAGGGTCAGGAGTCACTGCTCATGCACGTGTGCGCTATTGAGCCATAAGCAGAGACAGAAGCAGGCAGCTGGGTGCCCTGTGGAGACTCATTGCCCAGCCCCAGGGGCAGCCCTGCGGGCCTCAGCACGGGGAGGCTCTGAACGCAAAGGGTGCATCTCTCCCTGGCCCAGCAGCATCTGTGGACATGAATGCAAAAGTCTTGTGGTCTTAGGAAATCTGTCATATGGTCTTGAGGCTTATTATTCATCCTAAAATAAGAGGGTTGAATTCGTCTCTGGAATTAAATTTATCTACTAAGCATTTATCTTTGGTATTATAACATTAATACCTATTTCATTTTAAAACATTGAGAACAGAAATGGAAAAAAATAGTAAGAGTTCCCCATGAAGCCAATCTCCAGAAATCGTAATTTATACCTGAGTGCAGGGATTGGCAAACATGTCGGTAAAGGGACAGGCAGTGAGTGTTTAACTTTGCAGGCCACATGTCTCTGCTGTAGCTACCTGCTCTGCCACTATTGCACAAAATCACCCAGAGATGACAGAAGAACAGGTGTGGCTACATTCCAATAAAGCATTTTGGACAATAAAACTTCCCCATATGCCTTGAGCCAGATTTTACCTATAGGCCATAGTTTGCCTGACCCTAGTTAAGTGTATGGCATTTAACATTTTTTTTTTAACTCTCAGTTTTTTTCTAATTATAAAGGTAATGCATTCTCATTATAAAAATTCAGTTACTCTGGCCCTGGCCAGGTGGCTCAATTGGCTGGAGCGTCATTCCATACACTAAAAGGTCACAGGTTCGATTCCTGGTCAGGGCACATAACCAGGTTGCATGTTTGATCTCCAGTTGGGGAGTGTACAGAAGGTAACTGATCGATGTTTCTCTCTCACATTGATGTTTCTCTTTCTCTCCCTTCCTCTATTTAAAATCAACTTAAAATTTTTTTAATGTAGTCATTCTGGGAAGGTATATGGTAGAAATGGGTAAAATGGCCCAATAATTAATTTTTCCTATTTTACCCCCAAAGATAATTATTTTCAACATGTAGCATACATATAGACATGTATACATATGTGTGTGACAAGTGTCTTCACACACAATAATGTTGATAGAACATGTAATTTTTGCCCTGGCCAGTGGCTCAGTTTATTGGAGCATCAGCCCATATACCAAAATGCTGCGCTTTCAATTCCCGGTCAGGGTATGTATTTGAGGCACCCAATCGATGTTTCTCTTCCTCTCTCCCGCCCTCTCTTCCTTCCTCCCTTCCTCCCTTCCTCTCTCTCTCAAATCAGTAAAAACATATCCTTGGGTGAGGGTTAAAGGAAAAAGAAAAACATGTAATTTTAAAGCTGGGAGAGGTTTGTGACACATTTTCCCACAGAAACGACCGTGGGTCATGGTGTACTTTTTGGTCACTCGCACTCCATAAATACAAATGAATAAACTGTTATAGGCTGGCCTTAACTCTGATCGCCACTTAGGATCGCTTTTATGGGAAAATGTGTTTTGACAGATGAGCATTGCTAGTTTGAGGTCTCCCATCATGTGTTTATTTGCCCTCTTTCTCTGGCCGGCGTTTCCTCAAATGGGCGGCTGGGGTGTGAGCCACGTCTAAGGTGGAGGGCGGCGCATTCGCCCGACTCACGCGCAGAGACTGGGAATGGCTGGGAGCCTGACGAGCCTGTTGATCTTTCCTGTGAGCCTTTCGTTTTGTCTCTGCCAGTTCTTCCTTTCTCTCACCATAGTCCTAATGATTTCTTTGGTTATCAATTTTTCTTCTAAATCAGGGGCTCCTTTTTGTTGTTCTGAGTCATCCTTGTGCCAAAGAGAGGGAGCCGTCGGGAAGCCCCGTGTTCCAGCTCATTGCGATCAACCCCAAGACGGCCCTGAGCGGGGGTGTGATGCTCTACTGTCTTCCTCAAGGGCAGGCTGGGAGGCAAGTGTGCGACTGCTGGGCAGTGAGTGTGACCTTTGAAAGGCACCTGTGCACATACAAAACCAGATGTTTTGTGTCATTTAGATGGAAGGACACATGAAACACTATATATAGACCAAGATAAAGAATGTTAAGAATAGTGTTCAGCCTTGGCCGAGTGGCTCGGTTGGTTGGAGTGTCATCCCGTACTCCAAAAGGTGGCGGGTTCAATTCCCGGTCAGGGCACATGCTCAAGTATTGGATTCAATCCCCGGTCAGGGCGCATGCAGAAGGCAACCGATTGAGGTTTCTCTCTCACATCAGTGTTTCTCTCCCCCACCCCCCACCTCCTCCCTTCCTCGCTCTGTAAATCAGTTGTTTTTAAAAATGAAGTAGAATGTTTAGTAGATCTGAGTCAAGCCTCAGGTTCCCTGTATACTGATCCCACCAGCATGGCGTTGGATAAGTATTTTTTGTGTCTTTAAGCCCTGTGTTATCCCATAATGAAAACATTTTAAATACAGAGTAATTAATATTCTCTACAGGAGACTTACAATTTATGTTATTTCCATTAAGAAAAGTTTTAAATGTACTTTAGGAAGACATCTTTACTTCAAAATCTGAGCCTCCACCATGTAGGCAGCTAATATTGATCTATTAGTAAATATTTAACTAAGTTTTTTTTTAAGGTTTTTTGTGGAGAGTTTTTTGAGAGAGGGGAAGGGAGAGGGAGAGAAACATCAGCCAGTTGCCTCCTGTACACCCCTCACTGGGGATCAAGCCCATAGCCCAGGCATGTGCCCTAACCAGGAATTAAACCAGCAACCTTTCAGTGCAATGGACGACACCCAACCAGCTGAGCCACACTGACCAGGGCTAATATTGAACTATTGACTGAGAAGATCTGTTTATGGGTGGCGCTATGCACAGTGCTGGTGATATGGCAGTGAGACAACACACATTTTCATTAAGCACTTCCTGGGGGTTAGGACTGTGCTATCAGCTGAAACCTCACAATAATCACCATGTCCCCATTTTACTGCTGAAGTTAAATAATTTGCCCAGAGTCGCCCAGCTCTTGCTTTGTTAGAATTCAAAGCCAGGTAGCTGACTCTAGAGCCCCATCTTAAAAAGACAACCTGACTTCTGCCTTATGATTACAGTCTTGTGGCAAAGATACCCACCAAATGTGAAAATAGGATGCTCTTATGTCGTGAAAGACTCCCTCCACGTTCTGTGTGGAGTAGGGTTCGGTATCTGAAAGAGGGGCCGCACACAAATGAGAGAGAAATGACACGAGATAATTTTGAAATATTGGGGGACCAGGCGGGCAAATCCAGAAGGACTTCCACAGATGCTCGCTCCAACCTTTTATTTGGTCTGGGGCAGCCCTAGGGTAAGGAGGTTTGTCTGGGGTAGCCATAGGGTAAGGAGGTTTCAATGACACACAGACTAGGTCATAGCATGACCCTTAGGCAATTTACATGATTAAAGGTAGGGAGATTGCTTCAGCTAACATTATCTAGATTAACTGGGTGGTATCTAGATTAACTGGGTGGTACACAGCCCTGACCTTTGCTAGGGCTTCAAAGTTACTAACTTTTGGGGGTCTCTGTCTATACTCAGCTAGTGAAGACAATAAATAGACTCCGGCACACTCACATTGTGACAAGTGCTTTGAAGACAGAAACAGGTCATGTGATACAGTGTGGGTGGATAGACAGGGATTAGGTGTGACCTTTCTGCAAAAGCAGCAGCCTAAGTAATAACAAAAGCTCAGTCATGCTAAGGACTGGGTTTAGAGCCTGCCAAGGGGAGAGAATAGCAAGTGCGAAGACACTGAGGAGACTGAGTTTGGCCACAGTGAACTAGGGTGCACGGGGTACAAGATGCATTAAGAGATAGGCGGGGACTGCACAGGTGTTCATGTCCCATACTGCAAAGAGAAGCATTCCTATTTCCAGGTATTTTTGTTCTTGTTACTTTGGGGAGGATGGTTTTGGCCTCTTTAAAATACATGTGTAAATATCCTATATAATAAAAGCCAATCGACCGAACAACAGAACAGTGGGTCGCTATGATGCGCACTGACCACCAGGGGGCAGACACTCAATGCAGGAGCCGCCCCGAGCCCGCAGGCCCCAGGATAGCAAGGCAGTTGCCAGTGGGGGCTCCCCGGTCACCCCACTGGTCACCCCGCAGAGGGAGGCAGCTGGGGACAGGGCCAGTGAGCGGGTGGCACCAGGTCGGCCAAGGTGGGTGCCAGCAGGGGTCCCCCGATCGCCCCACCGGTTGCCCCACAGATCCCACAGATCGGTCCTGATAGCCAGCTAGGCCTAGGGACTCTACGTATGCACTAATTTCATGCACCGGGCCTGTAGTATATAATATGGTTTGAATCGTTTCTTTTCTGCTTCATGTTAGGTTCCTGGAAGGTGATGTGAAGGATCATTTCGCAGCAGCGGTATTGACTTCTGGAACAATTGCCATTTGGGACTTACTTCTAGGTCATTGCACTGCTCTTCTTCCACCCATCTCTGACCAGAACTGGTCTTTCGTTAAATGGTCAGGTACAGATTCTCATTTGCTTGCTGGACAAAAAGACGGAAACATATTTGTATATTTAATAAGTTAGGGTAAGGTAAACACACGGTGTTCTGGATATATTTGGCCTCCTTATATTCTTTGGAGTTGTAGCTATAAGGAAAGTATCAGAATGGCATTTAAAGTAATTGTATTCTTTTAGACATTTTATTCTGATGGTGATGGCCCTACTGATCTTTAATGTTCATTTATACATTGGGGAAAAGGACTTCAGGTTAATTTTTGTAATTCCCCCATTTGTGCATTTGCTTTTAAAAGTGTACATAAAGCTTCAAGTGTTAATAAATATTTATTTTGCCGAAACTGGTTTGGCTCAGGGGATAGAGCGTAAAAATAAATATTTATTTTGTATGCTCTCCCTACCGGGAGCATGCCCACACCTTTCTTGCCCTTGTCTTTCTCAGGCGGCTTTTTCTCCCTGAGCTCTAAGGGTCCCCATGAAACTTATAACCAGGGGAACCGGGGCAGCAGTAGCTAGTCCCAGGCTCATCCCTGAACCTGTCTCCAAGGTCTTGACTTTTTGTGCCGGGCCAGCTCAGCCAAGGGTTCGGTGAGCCTGAGGTGGGGGCGGCAAAGGATGTAGAAAAGACAAAGAGAATAAGCTTGATCTAGGTGGATCTCCTGTGCCTGGCTAAGGCTACAGAGAGGGACCCAGACTGCAAGCTGAGCCTTTATTTTATAGGCAGAGGTAAACAAGGTACTGGTCACCATAGTTGCAATGTTCTTGTGAGTTTCACTTGTTTTGGCAGCACTTGCTGCATCTCCCTCAGCCCATTAGCTACCCAGATAGGATCTAGGGAGTGTCATAAGGTCAAGCCTAATTATGCTCAGACGGCTGTGCCCTCCAAGCTGGGACTTGTTTGTGGCTCTGCCCACAGGTCAGTCTAGGCTTAGCCCTATAGCCACTTCTTACATCTCACCCTTTTTTTATTTTTAAGCTACCATAATGAAAGTAAAACTTAAACATCAAGAACAAAACTCTGGCTATTAAAACAATAACAAAACAATGCGAATGCAAAACCCAAACCACAGACCTGTTCACATTTTAAAACTTGAACATCAAGAACAAAACAATGCCAATGCAACACAGCAACGGGAGAGAAATCACACGACAGTAACGTTTTCTACTAAATGAAAGTTTCTTTTGCTGATTTACTCAGAGTCTTCGGACTTGGCTGCGCAAGACTTTGCAGAAGACTGGCAGCTAACCAATGCTAGCACAGCCAGACACATGGCTGACGGAGTAGCTTCCACTTCTTGCTTTTCTACCATCTGCTGGGCCTCAGTTGTTAACTTCTTCAGCTGACCCCATGTTGGCACTTCAGTCCGTTGCGTAGCCTTCCTTTTCTTCTTTTTTCCGCTTTGCTGTCATCGGAGCAACTCTGTCTTTTGAACAAAGGGACAAGGACCTTCTCTGGGTCCACTGTGTGGTACCCCAGTTGGCTGCACTGCTCCTTCTGGAAAGATACAAACACAACCTCTGCCCCACATCATTACTAGATCTGGTAAAACTCTTGTCCGGTTTGTGCATCCTTCCACCGGGCTACCCGGCGGAGACTATTGCACTGGAGGTCCAATGCCTTGGCTGCTGTACAACTCTCTGCGTTGTGATTCAAAAAATTTAACACCCGGGAGGAGACAGGAGACCAAACACGAGCAGGAGCTGGGTGGGCACCATGGCTGGGATCTCCACCATTGAGACGGTGAAACGCGAGATCCAGGTGCCGCAGCCGCAGCCGATGGTGCCGAAGAGAAGGCCGAACGCCTCCAGCAGCCTCCAGCAGGAAATGGAGGGAGAAAGGCGGGCTCGGGAACAGGCTGAGGCTGAGGTGGTTGAAGAGGGGCTAGCCCAGCCGTGGGCAAACTACAGCCCGCGGGCCAGATCCGGCCCGTTTGAAATGAATAAAACAAAAAAAAAGACCGTACCCTTTTATGTAATGATGTTTACTTTGAATTTATATTAGTTCACACAAACACTCCATCCATGCTTTTGATCTGGCCCTCCGGTCCAGTTTAAGAACCCATTGTGGCCCTCGAGTCAAAAAGTATGCCCACCCCTGGTAGACCGTGCTCAGGAGCGCCTGGCCACTGCCCTGCAAAAGCTGGAGGGAGCTGAAAAAGCTGCCAATGAGAGCGAGAGAGGTGTGAAGGTTATTGAAAACGGAGCTTCAAAAGATGAAGAAAAGCTGGAACTCCAGGAAACCCAACTCAAAGACGCTCCGCACATTGCAGAAGAGGCAGATAGAGAGTATGAAGAGGTGGCTTGTAAGCTGGTGATTATTGAGGGAGACTGGGAACGCACAGAGGAGCGAGCTGAGCTGGCAGAGTCCTGTTGCGGAGAGATGGATGAGCAGATGAGACTGATGGGCCAGAGCCTGAAGCGTCTGAGTGCTGCTGAAGAAAAGTATCCTCAAAAAGAAGACAAATATGCGGAAGAGATAAAGATTCTTACTGATAAACTCAAGGAGGCAGAGACCCGTGCTGAGTTTGCTGCAAGATCGGTAGCCAAGCTGGAAAAGACAATTGATTTGGAAGATAAACTGAAATGCACCAAAGAGGAACACCTCTGTACACAAAGGAGGCTGGACCTGAATCAGATGTAGAGCCACCCGTCCTGCCCTGCCGCCGCTCCTCCCTCTGACCCTGACTCCGCCTGAGGCCAGCCTGCTTGAAGCTGACCTTTAAACTGAGGGCTGACCTTTAACTGGAAGGCTGCTTTCTCCTTTCACTGCCCCCTCCCCCCCCCCCTGTCTTTTTCACCAAATTGTCTCTGCCTTCCCTCAGAGATTTTGATAGTGCTAGAGGCTGAGCACCTTTGGGAACAACATTTAAGGGAATGTGAGCACAGTGCAGTGTCTTTAAAAGCATGTTGTGATGTACACATTTTGTAATTACCTTTTTTGTTGTTGATGTGGCAACCATTTGTAAAACATTCCAAATAACTCCACAGTCCTCAAGCAGCCGTCTGATCCCTTTCTCACTTGTAGGAGGTAATTTTTCAGCTTAATCCACATTGCCCTCTCCATAGAGGAGGGAAAAAGGTATGGCCTGCCTTACTGGGATCCACATAGAGCCCAGAGAACGACTCCACTCTGGGGAGTCATTGCTTTGTGCAGACTACTAGCCAAATTGAAAAGGCGATTCCAGGAGGAGTTAACCGCCCCCCAAAAAAGTGATGTTTAGGTTTCAGCTTTTAAGGCATCTTTAGGCAAGTCATTTTTTTCATCAGAAGTGACCAACTTAAAATGGTGAGACCTCTCTGTCAGAGACCAAATTCTTGTCTCTGCCCATCTCTGCCCTTTCCCCAATGGTTCACAAAATGGATCATGTGCCACTTATGTTGAAGTGACCAGTTACTTGCTCTCCTGCCTCCTTGAAAGAAAGAAAATGATGTTTTTGCCACTGATTTAGCCAAGTGAAACTCATGTCATTACCCTCCTCTGGGTCTGAAGCTGCCATCTCTAAAAGTGCCATCTCATTGTGCTTTGTACCAGTTAGTGCTGGAGGAATCTTGAATAGTTTATGCACAAAACTTAAAATTTTGTATTTGAAACGTTGCTTCTTTGGGGTTGGGGCACACTGGCCACGCCGTCTGGCTGTGAGAGCTCGCTACAGTCTGGGCTGGCAGTGTGCTGATCTT